CGTTCTTGCTTCTAGAATAGTTTATTTTCTTGTCAAAAAACAGTTCTTAATTCATTTCTTTGCCAGGTGCAAGTTCTTGTTTCGTTCACTTAGTTCTGTTAAGCAATATATGAAGACTTTGTTGTATAAATCTCTAAGAAACTAGACAAAGATGAAATTTAATTGTTTTTTGATGGAGTTAGAAATTACCACTTATAAATTAAATTAATTAACCTTAAAAACAAATCAAATTAAGCAAAAAATGACAAGATATCTTATAGTTAAAACTCATATATTTAGCCATTTTTTAATCAATGAAAGTAAGTGGTTTGATTCCATCCTCTGTTGTGAAAGGGAAAATTTGCTCTGATGAACAGCTCAGCTAAAAATGGCGTGAATCGTCTGCCAAAGTATTTATAATTCACCAAAATCTGACGACATTTTTATAATAAGGGGGAAAAGGGAGATGTCATCCACAATTAATATAGTCTTCCTTATTCTAGAAAAAATATTTATTTGATATATATATATATATATATATATATATATATATATATATATATATGAATCCTTAAGCAAACGAGGTCTCTGGTGAATTTTTCCTTCAACCGATTTTGGCTTAATTTGTATTTTACTTCACATAATTACACGACTGGACTTTCCTCCCATTCAAAACCCCCACTGTGAGGTCTAAATTTGCTATTGGTTTTTTTTTCAACTCGATTATTAGTAAGCAGTTGCCGTCTACCTGTTCTGCTCTAATAATGCCCTCTGCCTCCTAATCGCCTGTTTCTTTTGTCTTGGAGTAGCCGATCTCGTCCTGTTGAAAAGTATTTATAGTCAGTTTGTTTCCATTTATTCAAACATTTTTATCTTCAAACCTGGAGTCTTTTCTTAATATAAGTAGCATGAAAGGTAATTTCGTGTATAAATTTTATTTTTGAAAGTGTTTATTTACCTATTTCTGTGGGGAAAATGATATAATTATGCTTTCAAATCACTTCTCCTGACTATTTAGCGTAAAAAAGAGTGGCTATTAGTAAATTAATTTATTAAGACTGCTGAAACTAAAAACGACCACACAAGAGTTTAAAAGAAGGCAATCGGAACAGAGTCAAGGCGATCAAATAAATCAATGAAGAAAGAAGTTTCAGATGGAAAGAAAGGGTTCATTAATATTTAAAGACGATAGCTTTAAAGAACTATTGCCCAAAAAGCACGTAGCGACTCAGAAGTTTTAAGAAAGAACTCACATGACTTGAACTATTTATATTCCCTTTTTGGAAAGACCAAATGAGAGTTTGTTGAGATCGGAATCTCAGTATTTGGAAACCATTGTATGGAAGACGTGGGAAAAGAAGAAATGAAGGACTTTCAGGTAAGAATACCGGAAAGTCACCAAAATTTTTGTATGTTCCTGCAAGTGAAAGGAACACTTATCGTGCATGATAAACTTATAGGAAGATAAAGATTTTAGTTGCTTCGTATTATGTTTTAACTTAATTAAAATCCACCAGCTTGAGGCTTTATTTTATTTATATCAAATGACAGGCTTTATGATGGTTACCATTAGCCCTTGAGTTGACTTTGGGCTTCACAGAGAGAAGGAGGAACATCGAAGTTACAAAAGTCGAGAGAGAAGACAGAATAGTGACTCACAGATGTAAAAGCGACAGACAGGCACAATAGTATAGAGAAAGGTAAGGTGAGTACTGTGGTAGGGGACGAATATGACATACAGTGGGGTCATGGTTGTTTGAAGTCAGAAGTTAACTGTCGATTAATAGACTTTTTTGCAGTAGGAGTATAGGTTGCCCAGGGTGTGCCACGTGGAGGTAAGTCAATTGTGCACCCCTCTTGAGGCTTTATAAGAACCAGTGGAAGATCAATTAAAAAAATGATATATTCATGATCATGATCTGCAAGAAGTTTTATTAAAACAGTGCATTTATCAACTACTTACAGTACCTTCATTTGATGCAATCGTTAAACAGGAGTGCTATATCATCTAATGATGAGCTTCTAGCGAACCTATCTCTCTTTTCTTACTTCTAAAAGGATGTAAATGAGTGAAAATTTGCAATACCAACCAATAATTCAACTAGCTTATCAACATACTTTGAATAATGCTGGCCTGGGCTTTGCTAGGATTTGACAAAAAAACATGAAGATTAAAATATAAAAATATTTGCGCTTTAATTCGTTGTCATGACAAAAATGCCTGAAAATGAGTTTGTATAAAATTTTGCAAAAAAAGTGAAAACCTGACTTCATTATTTTTTCCATTCGTCTATTCCCTTTCCTCCCACTGTATGGCTCTGCGGTTCCCATGTCGAGATAGGTTCCCACGAATTTAATGTGTGAAATATTTATTTGCTGTGTGATAATAAATTTCAGATCTAAAGTTTTTCTAATGGTAATATCCACAGAGACATTACAACTCAACGCATTGTGTCTCATTGCAGAGAGCCTTTTTTCCAGTCACTTCGCTTTATACTTTAAAGTGATTTTGATGCAATTGCCGAGAGAGTCGATCTGTGGGGTTTGTTTAAAGAATACCAATCAATATATAGATATTTATAGTTCATCATTATTTATCCTTTTAGAGTGAGGCATTCTGCGTGTTCAATGCCAGCTCCACCGCTAATATTCAAAGCATGAGGGAGGCGGTCGGCTAGGCCTTTTCAGCCAGACTGCGATTATTAAATGGTCTATAATTTCTGATTTTTATGAGCGAGGTATCATAAAATAAGTCGAATGCACAAAAACGACTACCAAGTTTGTAGGGCCGATTCTACCCAAGGCAGACTAAACATATTTGAGATAGGGCAGTAATATTGCATGACACATTCGTCTTATTAAGAAATTATTTAAGTAATGTATTTAAAAATTTGTTTGGCTTGATTGTTAGTAACTTTCCGATCAATAATTAAATTTTATTTTCCGTATACATGCATTTCGCGCTTTGATAATGGTTATTAGAAGAAATTTTAACCTTATTCAAGTTCACTAGGTAACACATCAAATACAGAAATGTGTTAACCATTTTTTTCATAAATATAAGAGCATGGGAAAGCAATTTCAATCTTTATCTTCAATTTATAAGTGATTTTTAAGCATTTTTATTTAAAAATTATTGATGTACTTAGTAGATTGGCTATTGTTAATGTAGTAATTTCTTAATTGCATTTGAAGTGCTTAATGGGCTAGTTGAATGGGCAATTACGTAATTTTGACTATTTTGCACTTTGAAAGACACAAACAGACACAATATAGAATAGCAAGATTTTAATAAATATAAGACGCTTGAGAACTGTGAAGTGTGCCGGAAAGATGATAGAAATGAATGAAGCTGACATGGGAGAAATACTCAATTACATCGGCTTTTCCACTGGTACTAGATATAACAAAATGAAAGAATCCATGTAGTTTTGGAGATCAATGAACTGGGAAATTTGGCTCCAGGACATATGGATGTTACAAACTCATTAGTGTTGGTGGACAACAATTTCAACGTTACATTAAAATTGCATTTTAGGAGCTTATTATTTAAATTTTAAATAGCTTTTTCATTGAAAATTGGAGTATACGTTTGTATTTAGCTAATTTTACTAGCTTTGTCCTAGCATTCAACTTTATGCTACTTAGAAGAAAGGATTTTTCAGAAAATCGATAGTGGATAACACTATGCGCTACCATTGTATTTGAATGTGGTTGGGAGAAATTTCTGAACAAAGTCATAAGGTCATTAGAATTAGGCCATACACTTTATATTCAAATTCAAGCATAAAAACTTTAAACTGGCCTTCAGAAGAATTTTCCTCTCTGATATCCAGATTAATTAGCAAGTTGGCAAATATGGGTAGTTGATCATACCATAGCAAGTGACTTTTATTCACTTTCAATACACTAGCAGGTCCATTTTAGCTGAAATGACTTTAAAGTGGTAGATCAAGAAATAGTTTGTTTTGTCTTATGTTGGTTTTCAGTTATAGAAGTCTATGAAATGTGAGCAATGCAAATTGCACTAATTATATCGATGTTTCGTACTTGTGCACAATATTAAAGAAGACTGAATAGAAAGAAGAATTTTTACTTCTCCGCATTAAGTTAACTGCGCAATGTAAAATGAACCTTAATTTACCAACATAAATTATTAAAAGTTAAAATTTTAGGCTTTTTAAAGCATACTTATTAATGAGCAAATGATTATCATTATAAATTCATTTTTTAACAAATTTTATGCATTAAATATGAGAAACATTAGTCTAAATAAACTAACTAATTAAATTAAATTTTGATTCCATTTTTTTGCTCATTGATGATTTAAAATTTCGTTTCCTTTTCATCGAATTCAGTCGTCATAAACATTTGAGGTGCCAAGTTTTTAATTGACTATTCTCATTTAATCTAATAAAAGTTGGTGACTTCATGGAATATTATCCAAAAAAAATAAAATATTTTGTAATATTTATTGAAGTGTGTAAATTTAAACACCAAGAATGTAAGGGATATTTATGCACACACATTTCAATTATACTCATAGTTTCGAGTGGCGTGTTGTGATATGTTTGCAAGAACCATTTCAATAAACTTCCTAAGACAAAATGTCGATATTCAGTAGTATCTTGCTTCACTCATTTGGGAAGAATGTAGAACTCTTTCACACTCAATAAGATGATATATACTTGCTTGACACGCCGAAAATTGCAAGATAAATACTTTTCGTTTGTACTCAGCATCAAAATATCACTTTCTCACTGAAAACCTACAATTAATCTGTTTTGAGCAGTGTAAGCCAGTTCTTTATGCGTGAATGTTATATTTGCCAAAGTTTTGGGATTAAAAAGTCAATAATTGTTTATTTGTCGTACCAGCTTTCCATTATTATGATTTCAAAGTTAAACTTGTTTAACATTGACTTAAATATGCAGCAAAAAGCAAATTATCGAAGATTTTGATCCTTTTATTTTCTTTTATTGACGGTGATATGGGATGACAATCTGGCTACAGTTGCGGTCATGGGGACACTTTTTACAATGGACTCGCGTTACGATGCCGCTGGGCCACCAGAAAATAAGTTTCACCGATGTACACACTCTTACTCCCTCTTCTCACCCAGCAAGGACACTTTTGAGCACCAACAATTTGAACCAAATGGTATATCTGAGGCGTGGGAGTTGGTCATAGTTGGTGTACAAAAGAAAGACAGCGGTGACTACCACTGTCGTCTCACGGGAAATATGCCTCAAAGTTTGGTGTATCATTTGACTGTTAAAAGTAAGATTTATTACATTTGATGTGTTAAATATGCTTAATTTGATTTTTAAAAAAATCAACCTTTTAAAGCGTAAGTAGACCAAGATAATAGGCTGGAATCGAAGTTCTACCCTGAATAAACCGAGGCAAATGGTGTCTAAGGCATCTTTCGTCATTGTGTGCTTTTGCCTTTCAATGAGCCACGAAGGCACTAAGGGGACATTTTGATAAAGTACTATTTTGAGTGGAAAGATATGCATGCTTTTATTATGTATCTGTTCAAATCGGGCTCCAGATATGATATAAGAATAAAACTATGACCATGAATACTTGAACTCGAAATTGTTCTCTGCACCAATGAATTATTTTTTCCTATTATTTTTTTAACTTTAGAATTCGTGCCTGAGGCGATAATTTCACCTAAAAATTTCAGTAAGTTGCAATTCATTACACTTTTCTTTAGTTAATAAAGACGAATTAGCTTTGATTATTCATTTAAGTTGTATTAATTTATAACTTAACTGCAATTTTGATTGAAATTTAATAAAGTAAGAAATTGTTAAATAGAACTAAAGTATTTTTATGGCGTTTAGAGAGGCAAATCAATGTCGATTTTTGAAACCATCTCGCCTGTTGAAATAGTTGCACTCTTCACCAAAATAGAAGATATCGAATTCTGGCATTTTCAAACTTCCATAGCACTAATTGATCCTTTGTGAGTGCTTAATGGGTCTATTGAAAGTACACTCAAGGCTTTTTGATTAGGACCTTTTTATAAGTCTTCATTAGTACAACTTCAAAGGTGTATCAACTTGTGCTCAGATGAGGAAAAATAATTTTATATTGAGCGGAAAACCACTTAACTTAATTAATCGCTGCGTTTCTTATTTGGCTTAGAACTTCTGCAGTGAAGTGCAATGTCAGGAAATTCTCTTTTTTATTCTGAGATCGCTCAATGTAGCAATAAAGTAGACCCTGAAGACTGGTGCGGTCAAGTTTTATAGCGTTGCTGCCTAAATATTCTCTTGTTGCGATGGATTTTTAGAAGTCCGAGCACAAGCCGATTTAAGATTTTTTACTTTCAGCAAGAACACTCAAATGATTTTTTCCCCTATTTTATACATCGATTAATTAACGCTCAAAATGAAAATTCAGAATTATCAATAAGATATATGAGCTAAAAATTTTTTAGCCTCTGATAGGTTTCCCTTGGAAACTGACAACTAACTCAGATGTCCATCTGTCAAAAGCATCTTGTGGGTGCTCTCAGGGTGTGATTATTTAGCACCCTTATCTGTTTTACTATTGACAGTTTGGTTGTGCGTATAGACGAAATTAATGAAAATGACTGCTATAAAGTTGGCTGTTGTCTGATCCTCAACGGTAATTCACTATAAATTCGATCAAGAGAGTATCTAGTGCTCTACGTCCTTGGAAACTTGTAAATAGTTCAAAGATTAAATATTGGCTTAGTTTACTAAGAAATACCTCTACTTATTCCATTTACCAAACAGTAACTGTCAATGCTCCAAGGTACGTTCGTCGCTATGAATCAGCAACCTTTGCCTGTTCCATGGAAGCAAGTCATGGCGATTTTTCCCAAATCATAGTTGATTGGTACCGCGTTACTCCAGGTCAAAAAGGTGTGGATGGTCACCGGCTAATCGAAACTCAGGAGTGGAACAATATCAGTGTTTATAAAGAGATTCTAAGTGATTCCAAGTCCGGACTGCGACTCAATGCAGTGATGCAAATACATTCGACAGACTACCAACACGAGGGGATATATGAGTGTCAAGCGCATCAGATAACTCACAACAAACGACCTAGAGTGTACGATTCGATTGCAGTCGCATATACGGGTTGGTTCATTTTCTACTTAAACTCCTAAAATTAGAGTAAAATGGTTATTTGTAAAGCTGCCAACACTGTTCAGTAAGGTACTCAAAATTCGAAATGTATGACGACAGAAACGAGGTCAATATTTTTCACAAAACAGCGCTACCACTTATTCCATTCCTATTTGAATCTTTGAGTTCATTTCTCAATTTCTCATAAATTCTTATTGATGAAACAGTTTCGGGTTGATTCAACCTCGAGATATTTTCCTCACCATAAAATTTTATATTTATTGGCAAAATTCGACAATGTTTTACCTCCTGCTTTTTACGCAAATTGCTTGTCAACATTTGGTCATGCTAACAAACACTGAGAACTGAGACATTTATCTAACGAATGCGAATAGATTTCTGAACCTTTTCTTTCATTTGAAACAAATCCCAGACAGTGATTAAAATATTGCTGATATTCTTTCCTAATTAAGTCTAGAGATGAAATGAAAAATTGACGTTAAAATATGTAAATGAATATGCAGCTTTTCATGGTGTGACGATTTATAGGATCATCCTATTGAAAAAACGCATTAAGGATTCTCCCAACGCGTGTTTGATGAAAGAAATATTGAAAGTATGCATAAGGGGAAGAGTAGATATTTTTTCATATTGCGTTCTTTTCATGAAGAATACTTCGTTGAAATGAGACTTTTGATAGCATCGAGCTTAGTTTGTGTTTAGGGGGTGCTGCTGGTTTTGCCAAAATTTCTTTTAAACACACTAAACCGAGGTATATTATTAATGCGAGCCATGAAGATGATTTCATTTTAAGTATTTGATGGGATTGGCCTCTCAATCAGGAAACCTTTGCATAATAACATTCTGCGGTTCCCATATTCAACGAATTGAATTACATTTTGGAGAACAAAAGTGTTGAAATGTGGATTCACCCCATAATGAGTACGATATATATCGCAGAGAGGGGGAGCACAAATGCTGCCTCTTCATGGCCATTTTGAAAGTTGAGTGATCACTGCTTCGTGGGAAACATATACACAATAGAGTGAATGGGTTACTGAGGACACAAATAATTTGCACAATTTAATTTAGGAAAAAATTAGGGTCTAGGATAGAATAAAAAAGAAAAACCTATATATATATATAATTCAATTATTTAGTTCGATAAAAAGACAATTGATATCCACTTGATTGCAGAAACATTCATAAAAATAGCTAATAAAAATTGATTTGATCTTGGCTCCCCACCCAGTGTCCTCGAGGCATAATTTAGTCTTATTAGTTAATTGGTTTTGTTAGACAGAGGTAAGGCACTAGGAAAATGAGACAAACCTTCACATCAGCCATTGAATTAACAGGCGCAATAGCAGCCAGTTGTTATTATACGCGAATTTTTAAACTCAGCGGAGAATCACTTTTATAAATTACCAGAACAATTCAATAGCCTTCATTAATGTCTGAGTACAATTAATAAAAATGCTTTTAGCTGCTTATTAAAATATTTCGTTTATTGTTTTATATTTGCTTTTTTTATTATAATATCAGCTTTAGGGAATTTTGATAGTTTTTGGTAAAAGCTGATTTATCAGTAATTTTGAAAGCAGATAATTTCAATAAATGTATAAAAAATGTGCAAAGTGTTAGACAGTCTCAGGTCGTATAAGGTGCTTCTATTAATTCCATCCAGAAATTATTTCACATCAATTTAAGGTAGGCATGTATATGTAGTGATTTTTCAAACGCCGTCAAATTACTACACATTTAGAGCATCCCAATGAAACATCTTTAAATGTTAGTTTATAGCCTTCATTCGACTTATGATTCTTATTTTTAAAGAATTGCTGTTTATTTTGTCAAAATACTCCATTTGTTTTGTTTAAATAATCTTCAAGATTTAAGAAGCATGGATGGAGGACTTCGGTGCATGAAATTTCGCTTTATTTTATCAACTTATTGAAGGCATATTAGCTGACATCTTCATGTACTCCGGTATTTTCAAAATGTTTAATTCATTAACATATAAAATCTTTAATAAACATTATATATATATATATATATTAATTCCGTAACTTTATGAACAATTTCTCAATTGAATACCTTCATACTTTCAGGACGAAACGTTTATGAGGATAACTCAAAGTGGTCTTGAGCTCCATAAAAGCAATCAATGTTTATCCCAGCTTTTTATACTTTGTAGCAATTCATAAAAATTGAATAACTTAATGTCTCTACTGGGGGACTTAAAGTTCTGTGATATTGTGGTTAAATTCAAGGCCCTAGTCGAACAAAATCATTATAAATCTTCAACTTATACCGTGATTAGTTAAATGAATGGTCTAAACTTCAATTGCGCAGCATAACACTCTCTGTAATCCAATCAGGATTTTTTCCATAATTGCATTCTAGTACCACCTCGATTTTTCACTTCAATCAAACTTGGTTTGCATGACGATAGCTCAGCATAAGTTACACATGGTGTAAATACTGCCTGTATCGCTCTTGGAAACTGAAAGGATCATATTCAAAAATACATCAATGACCAAATCTGATGTTGAAACTAATTATCTGAGGTTGTTGGGTAACTTCTGATAAATTGACCTTGAGCTTTGTTGAAGAAGAGTGGAGAAATCCTAACCATTTAATTTGGAAAGCATGCATGAGATAAAAAAACAAAGAATCTAGATCTGCAAATTGCATTTTGAGAGGAAATTCCGCTTTAAATTTCTACTGCCAATCGAATGTTTTTTGCTATCCCATAATGGAATCGGTAGTTGATACTTGCATTCAGATTCTGCCAACGAGGTAAACGTGTTCATTTTACTTGTGAGCAAGAAATAATAACAGCAAACTCGAGTTCACATTTTGATATAATTTAGTCAAGTTCTCACTTTCAATATTTGAGTTTATTCTTATGTCAAGAAAATGCAAATATTGTTCATTGATTGCGGGGAAGGACTTGAATTACCGCCTCATTTGGTTAAGGCTTTGATTTGTCACAATAAATTCGTGCAATCAAGATTCAATAAATCTGATTTATTATGAAAGTAAGCTACTTTCAGAGAATGGGGTCTGAATCATCATGTGAGAGTGCTAATAATTGGGTATATTTTGGGGGAGGGGGATCGGTGAACATTTATGATATAGAGTAGAGAAAAATGCTTCCAATGTGTTTTAAAAATAGCCAAATCTACCAGTGGGGGAGGGGGGGTGGGGGAAATAAATACCTCGAAAAATGTACAATTATAGACTACACAACCAAGTCGGAACGGAATGGCAGAGCATTTTAATACTAATAATTACAGAGCATTCAGCCTTCAATATGTTTGAGCCACCTACCATTTCATAAGAGTAAGACAAGCATATCGTTTTTTTTATCATTTGTATCTGTAGTAATTCTGCCAAAAGCATTTGTAATAAAACTCAAATGGACATATGTGAACAAAACACCATTACAAAAGTAAACTAAATTAGAAAGTATTTAGTCACTTAAGAACCTAATTTTAACTTAATATATTTATTAAGTTATTGGCTTAAATGCATTCATTCTCAAATGAGATGAGATGAGATGGGGTAAAAATTGATCATCTTTAAATCAATTAATTCATTGAAACGGTTTCCCTTTTGTGGATAATTGGGGTGCTTCATAATATGTCGTCTTTCACTGCAACAATTAATGGCTCTTGGGGGGAATTTCTAGACATTTCATTATATATTATGATATAATAAAGTGGAAGAATAGTATAAATGTTCCTTGTTTTTTACTAAAACGGCACAAAAAATAATAATTTTGCAGACAGTGCAAAATGCATAATGTTCAAACCTGTAAAAACCATTATTTATTGCACTTACTATATTATATTATATTAATCTTAGTAATTATCAGCTGTCTGGGCGACTAACGTACTAATTTAAATAATATAAAGCTGTGCTGTTGTTATACGCAGTTCAAATAATTATTTTTTCTTCCTTTTATTAATAAATATAGACTTTATAAAATTCAGAAATAGGCATTTGGTAGGTACCACATGAACTAATTGAATATTTTCTGCTGAAATTTATTAAATCCATCATGGGCATTAAAGTATGCTATTTTTCTTCTCAATAATGAACTCATTGTTGAAACATTTTCTCAAATAAGATAACTTAGATTAATTATTATGAATTGTGTCATAAGTGTTAACTGAAAAGTTTGTGTCAAAGTTTTAATTATAATGAACAACCAGGAAATTTGCACATTATTTAACGGCATATCTGACCCAAATTCAGGTAAAAATATTGTTGTGGATACAGACACATAAATAATTCGTGTATAAGTTGCTGTATTATTCTAACTTCCTTCTCAAATCTCTATAAGCGTTCAAGCTTCAACAGTTCAATTTTACTAGGTTTAATATACATATATATGCCTGAGAATATGCCTAACTTGTCTTCTGCTCATTGTGATCTGTGTATTACTGTGGAAGTTAAATGGTCAAACATGACCCTACTGTTGACATAAAGCCAGTTAGAGAACGAAGTGTTGCAAAAGATAATAACTTTAAGTTCGAATCAGCTATCATTTTTCAGAATTTCCAGAAAAAAACTCGTGTGCAGATAAAATTATGGAAATTCACTTAATCACTTTATCATCAGAGAATTTTTCGTACGAGCTGACAAACGCTCTAGAGAGCCTTTCGCGAACTAGGAACGTAAAGAGAATAATTTAATGTACTGTACTTTAGCATCCATCTTCCACTTTTGTTTTTCTGCCAACTTAATTTAATAAAAATCCTTTTCATCGCTTTTCAGTACTTCCTCAGTGGCAGTATCATCGTCACGCCAGGGATTGGGGCCTTTGCCGTGAACGGTTAGCAGAATTCCCGACAAAAGAAGGTATTTTGCCATCATGGACATGCTATATCATAACTCCCATCAAGGAAAAATTACTTATTTATCATTAGTGAAAATTTTCATTATTGGTTCTAATGTATGTTCAATAGGTTATACTGTTGACTCAGTACATTCTCTCCGAAAGTGTTTTCTTTTTGCATTGTCATAATTA